GCCCCCCCCCCCCCCTAACAAAAAAAGAGATTATTTCTTACAATGTTATGAATCCTTTTTTTACACCTTTCGGGAAGGTGGCAAAATATCTGTGTTTACCTGTGGCCAATATGGATGACATTTCAACGTTCCCTTTTCTATCACACGGTTCAGCATTATTACTGCTTTGGAATTCTAAAAATATTTATTTTAATTTTGAAAATTTCCAATTCATCTGTTAATTTATCCTTTGCTTAGGTATCTAAAATTATTGCCTAGAGTAGTCGCAAAGTATTAATAAGATTAGAAAAATTGCCTTTAGTCGCGTCGGGTTCAAGCTATTATCTTGCTTTCAAACGGATTTGCCTGAAGGCATTAATCATCTATTTAAAGATTTTATAATTTACTATGTACGTACATAATTTCTTGTGATAACAGGTTTTGACATGAGTCAAAGTGTTGCAGAACGTTATTAAATTGTGCCTAGGTTTTACAAAGTGGGTTGAATTTAATTCTAATCAATGGTTTGTAGAAAATCAAGATGTAAAGGCGAAAATATTGTTGGAAAAAATGTTAATAAATGATAACTCAGGTTTGGCATCTATCAAATGTTGATATACCTTAATTTTGGCAAGAATTGAATAGTCGTCCTATTTTAGTAAAAAAGTCTTCTCCGGATCCTGTTTTACCTGTTCCCAGACCATGGACCAAAAATGGTCCACAGTGTTCCCAAGTGGTCCCTGAGTAAGGATGTATTTTCTCTTCACCTCTGGAACCTCAACCAGGCTCGCGTTTATATAATCAGTTTTGGCAACACTGAAATGATAAATGTTAAAGATAACATACTTGAAACATAATTTAGATGGAACGTAGCTTAATTTTTACAAAACTTGGCTAGATGGGGCGACATAATAAAAAGGAGTGCTTAGGATCCTTTCGAATAAAGTTCATGATAATTTCGTAAAGTTTTACTAGCTTCATTCTCGTAATTTTTTTCTCACTAGATTTTTAGTTGAAGATTGGTTTTTGATTCAGATATCAGGAAAATTTCAATTATTTCTTATCAATTGACGCTTAAAATTAGTGTTTAAAGAACCAAATCCTTTTTTGTATTTTGGTTGGCAATTTGCCACACTAAACCCAGATCAGCCGATCCGCATAATTTTACGGATCCGGATCCAGGAAGTTAAATGTATAAATTTAGGGAGGAATATGCTTCTTAATTAATATTATAAAAAAGACTGGCAATGTCCCATTTTCTGATCAATGATGTAAGATATCATTGTCTTAACTTTCAAATACAGAAAATTGTTCAATTTTTAAAAATATAATTATTGTTTCCGCAGATCCATTTTTATTAGATATATCGCAAATAACAAAAAGAAGAGCTGCTTAAAATTATGTTTACTGTCCCTTTAACATTGACAAGAATTAATAAATGAATGAAATCACTCAAACACAAGGTTTTCTATTACCTTTTAAGGGGCACTCTGCTATGATCATAAGGATACACATCCCTATATCTGTTTAAAGATTTGTTCTCAGGCTTTAAAGCTTCCAATGCAGGATGATCGATGTTTCGTGACTCGATACAAATCGTCTAAAAAACCAAATTAATGACATTTTTCATATTAATAATATTATTAACAATTTAAAATAAACTTTATAGCATTCGGGAGTGCCTATTAAGAATGAAGCTTAAATAAAGACCATGTACTCGGGCGGTTTTAAGATTAAATTTAGTATTTATCCCAGAACTGTCATCTATAAAAAATATGCAATTGTTAAGACGACTGTCAGAATAAAGTCTCGTCCTTTATGTATTAACATTTATCGTATTATGGAATAGAAATATATCAAATTAGTTAAACAAGTCATGTTGAATCATTAATATTCCTATAAAACGCTTTAATTTGTTGGGTAATTGTACTTACGGAATAGTGGTGTCTCCACATATTTTGAATTTCTCTAAATTCTTCTTCCATTTTCAGTTTTGTCCTTTTTCCTCCAAAAAGAATAGTCAGACGCTCGAGCTCAAATTAACAGACATTAGGTCAAGTTCTGAAATATTGTCTTAAATAATGAGAATTCAACAATCTTTTTTGCTCCAACAGAAGAAAAAAAAGAGGATATTACACAATATCAAACGCAAAAGTATTTTCTGTCCCAAAATAGGTCTCCGGTTCAAGAAAAAGGAACAAACAAAACATGTTCCTTCAATTTTATAAATTAATGAATACGCACAAATGCCGGGTTGGGTTCTTAAATCAGAGTAAATTTCGAAAAATGTTTTACATAATTTTACTAATTCATACGCACTAGAAGTTTAAAAAAGATAATATATAGATGACCTCAAAGAAAAATTTTTGAATAACATTTTCTTTAAATGCTCTTGTAAATATTATCCACAGCGCATCTCTTTATTATTTTTCTTAGTAAGGAAAGTTCGGTGAAATATCGTTTGCACTAATGATTGATCGGACCAACGTACATTCGTACTTAAAACGTTAATTCGGACTAACGTGCATTCGCACTACAGTACAAATGAACAATTAATTGTTCAAAACTAAAAACCGCGTGGAATATTTTGTTTCATTTGTACTATATATTTCTGGCGGGAAAATAAAATTTTAGTCCAATTGAACACAGTAAAACTCGATTTGTGTTTATTTGCACTAATGTTCAATCGATCGTACTACACACCTGTTTTTGATCAGCTGACTTTCGTGCAAATGTACGTTAGTTCAATCGGACATTAGTGCAAACGATATAGCATCGAAAGTTATGTATAGGGGAAATACCTCCCCCCCCCCTTCCTCTGCAGATCAGAGGAGATATGGAAGATAGAATTTCTTGGAAGAAATGTGGTAGCAATGTATCTGGAACTTGAATTCGATGGCTTATATGGGGGGGGGGCTATTAGGACTCAACTCCCCCCTCCCCCCGCCCTTCTAAAATAATATTTGAGCCCCCTCCACCCCCATTCCCGAAATTCCTGTTCATGGCCCTGGATGAAAGGCTGTATGTAGTCTATAGAAGAATAAAGATCGGAGAAAAAGGTGGTCAGGAATGACTTGGCAATGGAGATAATACGTGAACGTATGCAGTTAAGAAAACTAAACATTTATTTTTGAACTTTATAGAGAGAGGAGGCCGGAGATGAGAGAAATGAATTTCTGAGGAAGCAGAAGAAATTAAGAAGTTATAGCATTCTTTGGAAAAGTGTATTGATTAAATGATTTAAGGTTAACAATTGGTTTATTCATTCTGTTCAAGGTGAAGTTCTTAGAAATTGAAGAATAAGAAGCTTAGGACTGGATAGATCCGGGAGATAATTCAAAGGTTAACGATCGATAGAAGGGACCATGCCATGAAGAATTTTAATAGGAGGAATTAGGAAGGATAAAAGAGGATACAATGAAAATATGAGGAATAAAAGAGGACACAATGAAAATAGGAGGAATTAGTAAGGATATAAGAGGATACAATAAAAATAGGAGGAATAAAAGAGGACACAATGAAAATAGGAAGAATTAGGAAGGATATAAGAGGATACAAAGAAAATATGAGGAATTATGAAGGATAAAAGAGAATACCATGAAAATAAGAGGATACAATGAAAATAGAAGGAATTTGGAAGGATATCAGAGGATACAATGAAATAGGAGGAATTAGGAAGAATAACAGAGGATACAATGAAAATAGGAGGAATTAGTAAGGATACAATGAAAATATGAGGAATAAAAGAGGACACAATGAAAATAGGAAGAATTAGGAAGGATATAAGAAGATACAAAGAAAATATGAGGAATTATGAAAAATTAAAAGAGAATACATGAAAATAAGAGGATACAATGAAAATAGAAGGAATTAGGAAGGATATCAGAGGATACAATGAAATAGGAGGAATTAGGAAGAATAACAGAGGATACAATGAAAATATGAGGAATAATGAGGATATAGGAGGATAAAATGAAAATAGGTGGAATTAGGAAGAATATAAGAGGATTATAGAAAGAAAATATGAGGAATTAGATAGGATATAAGAGGATACAAAGAAAATATGAGGACTCAAGGAAAGTTAGAAGATACGATGACGACAAAGAAGGGATCAAAGAGAATGGCATCTTCAGTAAAATAACCTTAATACTTAATATGGTTAAATAAATCGAGATAAAAGCCATTAAAAAAAAAAACAATGAAACCCAAGCTGGTATTTTTCTAGAAAACACCCTCAGATGATTTTGCAAAAAATGTGAATATGCATTTGTCACGTGCAGCACAATATTTTCATATAAGCAGAGTAAGTTACAAAAGTCAACACAGACAGCGTGTCTACAAAGCTTAAAGGGACTGTAGCGTGTAGACTGCAGAGTGTATGCGTAACTCCATGAAAAGAGGGAAATGCCCAGTACCCTTTAAACGTGACTCGCGCATTTCTACAACAGAAAAATAAATTGGAATTATTAGAATTAATCACTTTTAAACCTTAGAAAAACGATAATATCTTCCACAATTATTGATAAGATTAAGATTTACGAGGACTACAGATGTGAATCGGACATTTTCTTATTTGTATGGAGAGTGACTTGAAAAGTTGAATTTACGCATACAGTCCCTTTAGAGAGTAGTTGAGTAAAAGTTATCAAATATGAAGCCGAGCTCGACGAGAACAAATTCTGAGACGCTGAGGCATACAAAACAGATATAGTAAAATAAAGAAACATTAGAATTTGAATATAAAACTAAGATCAAATCACATCAAGTTATTAATTTGAGAATTTTATTTCAGTCGTGGGTCCGTATAATTTCATCCAATACGATCCCAAATGTTGATATTAGGGGTAATCATATGGTAATCATGGAACAACTTTTGTAGGTCGGATTCACAGATTTTGTGGGTCGAATGCACAACTTCGGTATGTCCTATTAACACTTAAGCTGCTCCAAGGCCCCATTAATTCGATGTTCTTAGATCCAGCTGGAGAACAAAGAGCGTCCTCTGATATCCTTAGTGATGCTGAGGATTCCGAGTATGTATGTTTAAATTGGATGGGAAGGAGGCTGGCCTCCTCCTTACTCCTCTGGTAGTCATGGTAAGATACATCATTCTGAGAGCTGTCCATGAAGCATAAGTCCCCAGGCCTTAGTTGGATAAACAGAGCTAAGCTCTTACGTCTATCCTTATTAGATCCTGGAGTGTACTGCTCCTATAGTTACTATTCTCCAGGTTTTCTACTCAACTTAGATATAGACAAAGGGTTGAGGGGTTAGAGGGTTAGATCATATTCTAAATATTACACCATGCTTGAAATATTACATTAATGGAATCAATTCCCATAGAACTCTGATTAGGCTAGTTTCTCATCCCTGAAATGTTTTTAATGTTTCTCACATCTTCTTGGGATTTCGTTTTTGGCAACCTATTAATTGACTAAAATAGACCTTCTTGGTTCGTCTTTTTGTTCTATATTATAAATGTTTTAGTTTACTCAAATCAGCTTTTGTGACAGTCATCTAGACAGTTCGTAGATTCCTTCACTAATAGATATAGAGTAGATTCCCTCACTGATAGATATAGAGTAGATTCCCCCAGTGATAGATATAGAGAAGATTCCTTCACTGATAGATATAGAGTAGATTCCTTCACTGATAGATATAGAGTAGATTCCTTCACTGATAGATATAGAGTAGATTCCCTCACTGTACACTGCCGTCTTGTGTTTAAATACCTCCGTTGGAAAAAGAGAGGGTGGGGGCAGGCCTTTTCTGCTTGTCCCGGACTCCTGCCTAGAATAAACTTAAAAACCTTGACTATTTGTAATTTTTCTGTCTTTAATGCTGTTCATAGTGTTTTATAGATTATGTTCTCTCATTTTTCTCACCAAACACTAATTATGTCATTAGAAATCCATTTCACATGTGGGAGAGCTTACCTGTAAACGCGCATCCTAATGCACATTCTATACTACACTGAAAAAAAGGAGAAAAAATTCCATACTGCAGAATGTATGCTGCAAGGGAGTGTTCATTTTTCTATATATCATAATTTATCAAAATTTACTGATATTTACACCTTTTAATATTCCAAATGCAATACACATTTCTTAAGTGTAGTACACGTACACAAAAAACTTGTCAAATTTCACAATGACACAGAAAGTGTATTTTGATGCTTCTATATTTACTTTGAACCCCGATCTCATTTGGGATCAGAAACGGAATTATATGGACTTCTGATTTCAGTTTGTCAAAATCCCATGTCTTCAAACTTTGTATCTTATCATGAAACTTTAAAAAATTCAAACTATCAAAAAAGATATATTACTGCAACGTGCGCATTAATTAAAATTGCATAACTTATAAATCATTACAAAATTAGTAAAAACAAACATATCATTTTTAAGACTAACATTTAGAAAATCACTATAAAAGCACAAATTAAATATCACAGAAGTGTACTGTACTGGTTCTTTCTACATTGTGTTTACAAAACAATGAAAACATATTATGCTGTGGAGTGATGTGGATTGGTTACATTTGTTATAATCAACTATATACAAGGGGGTATACATGGGGGCGGCAAGGGGGCCGTGCCCCCACCTAGACCTGTAAAGGGGGGGGCATAGCCCCCCACATAGAACTCAGGGTAACACACTTTTCAAATCTGAAACTGAAGATTATTAAAAACACTAATTTGCTAATTTTTTTCTGCTAGTTTTGTTTGATGGAGAGATGAAGTAGTCCTTGTATGTTAATTGGACTGTATAGTGTATGTGTACCTTTAAAGTATCCAATAAGCAAAATGTTTTGAATTTACGGTTCAATTTACCCCCCCCCCCC